TCTGATGATTAGTACAAGATTGTATTTTGAATTTTTGGACCTTGTGTTTGGTCGTAATAGATTATTTTTGTACTAGTGGACCCAAATATATATGAATATGTATTTCTTTGGTATGAAATATGTATTACATGCAATGTGTGGGTTGGGGCGTTACACTTCGCTTTGATCGCTTTACACTATAAGTCCTTGAAATTTAACGACTAACAATTCCTTTCCTTTTTTTTTGTTATTGCAAACTTTCCCCCTTAACAAAATTTCGTTCTCGAAATTTGTCTATGCAAATAAATGATGAATCAACTCACTATATCATCAATACTTTGAGTTGATATTGTTCTCAAAGCTAAACATATTATGTCCCTACTAAAGCAAATCAGTGGGAGTTTGTCACCAAAACTTTATCCACCAACACCACTCTACATCTATTTTATCTCATCTTACCATGTGTTTTGCATAAATACTTCTCTATCAATGTCATTATATCCAATGATATTAAACCATCTAACGACTTCTTTGCTTTAATCTGGTTTAAGACTAATCCCAAATTAACTTAAATCACCACTCTCATTACTATAAATCTATCTTTAGTTACACATCTATCAATAATAAAATCTTCCATCCTTAGTTTAAGTTTAGGTTTCAGTAACCTAATTCACTTAAACTTTGCTTTGATACCACTTGTAACATCCCAAAATTTCAAATACTTAAATATATCAAAACTAGTATCCCAAGATCAAACACTTACATTGCATCGGAAATAAAATTTCTAATCTTACAATTTATATCACCATCTAAACTTACATACTTGACGAACATACTTTGTTCGATATAACAATGCCTTGATCTGCACATGTCTTTCTTTGATGCTAATCCTTATTTCTCTCTTTATCAAACTTTCCTTTCCAGTCTAATTGCTTCCTGGGTGAAAAAGTTTTAAAAGAGTTTTGGGTGAGGCTTAGGCCCAGTGAATCCACGATTTTCATGCATGAACAACAACTTTTACAATAAACAATTTTCACAAAGCTTCATAAATTTAGCATGGCTTGATGATAATAATATTTTTCACAAAATAACTATATTATAGTGCGTGTCTACATCACAAATCAACAACGTCATGGGAGATGTCTACTTCACACAGCATTACCTAGCGAACTCACACAGCATGTCCGCACTTACGGTTTAGACAAGCTCACAAAGCATGCTCGTCTATACAAAATCATATTGTAGTACATCTCCATTGACACACAAATACTCAAAACATGTATTATAAAAGTATCGAACTTTTCACGCATATATAGCATATCAAAAATCTCGAGAAACTTCAAACAACTTGTGGATAATAAGGCATGCAACCATTTTAAAAATAAATCACTTGTAACTCACAATACATGGTGTAACCCAAACCGATCTTTGAAATGGCTAGCGTCTCCCCAATTGGTGCCAAACTAGTTACGATGTAGAGCACCGTCAACTCTCATTACAACGTCCACCGTCGCATTTTCTCACAATAGTTCTTCTTCTTGACCCCAAACTACACATAAAGCTACAAAACTCCCATTTTATACTAAGCCTCATCGGCAGTTTCATGGAATATGAAACGATAAGCCATAATTAATGGTCGTCAGTTTATGACCATTGAGTTTCCTATCATTAAATTACATTCAATTTATTTCCTCTTTTTTTTTTGGTTATTACAGTTCATAATGAAGAAACTATTATTCACAAACTGTTCATATTGTGTTCATATGTACACTAGCTGCATATTTTAACATTGGCTTGCTCCTGAATGTGTTTATAATGAAGGAACTATTGTTCATAAACTGTTCATTTTGTGTTCATACATGTTTATTTATTTATTTATTTTCGTGTAACAATTATTCTTATTATATTCATATTGTGTTCATAAATGTTATACAGTTCAAGTTCATATATATGTCAATTTTTGTTCGTATTTGACACAATGGTTCATATATATATATATGTGTGTGTGTGTGTGTGTGTTCATATAGTTCTTACATTAACAAAAATAAATTAATAAAAATAATGAGATTTTTTGATTTTGTAACTGCCAATTAATGATATGAGAGTTACATAAAAAAGAAAATTACCTAAATACCCTTTTCTCCTTTGTTCACATATGTTCTTTGAAATTATAAATTTAAAATTTTAATTTTTTATCATGATTAATCACAACCCTTTATTGTAAGAATCAATGGCCAAAATTAGTTAACAAAGTTAACACAAAAATATTGGTTAGTATTTAAACCAAACTCTCTCTCTCTCTCTCTCTCTCTATATATATATATATATATATATATATATATATATATATATATATATATATACAAGAAACCACTAGAAGCATAAAGCTTGGATACAATAATATAGGTACAAAATATTGAACCTAACAATTATCGCTGGAATCCAACCCTTATAGTTAATATATGATTATGTATATAAATATGACATGGTGGAAAATAAAAAATGAAATAGTTAAGTATTTAAAGGCATTGTATGACAAATATACACTAACATATTCTTTGAGTACACGTTTGGATGAAAATAAGATAGTTTGTTGAAAATTATTAATTAATTTTACATCAGACATCATATATTAATGTTAATTATCAATTATTTAGAATTAGTATTAATC